ACATATACTTGGCATTCCTCTTAGCTAAGAGTTATAATACAAGCCTGAAAAAAATCTTAGTTTTGTTTATACTTCAGTCTGGAAATTTCCTCCATTTTGCCGACTTCTGTGTAATGTGTGAGGGAGGAAAGGAGGTGATGCTCTGTAGTAAATAAGTCAGAATACATCCTTGAGAACTTAGATCACTCCAACACCTACAGCTTAAATGTTTGTTTCTAAACCACTGAGAATTTTACCTTAGTAATGTGGACAACAAATGGCTAAGAACATAACTTTTAAAAGCTTTTATAAAGGCCGGTAGGTATCTTCCGCAAACCTACAAAGGTTCTTGAACCTACCATTATATACAAAACTGGAAAGTTGTTGAGTTCATCAGAAATTAAATGGTCTTTGTTTCATGCACCATGATTTAAGGTACATTTGTTGGTATATCTGGTCAAATGTGATAATCAGAAAAGAGATTTTTAAAAGAAACCCAAAGTTAATAGGTGAACACTAAACAGTGGTCTAAATAATGGTATTGGAGAACTTGTTTCCTGCTATTTGAAAGAAATTATTACTTCATTGCTAGTTTATATTTCTAATTTATCTTCTATAGTCATAGGCTCTGCTGTGCTTTTGTACCTGAATTTCTAAATATAGACTTTAGTTTACTGTGTGCTTGCATATTTATTTTCAACTTTGTCTTTAAAATTGCTTGAGGAAAAATGGTTGTAATTTCTGCTACAGAAGAGCCACCTGGTACATTTTCTCTCATCAAGTTTGTTTTAAACTCTGAAGTATAATTTGATTCAGGAGAGGCTTTTGCAAGGACAGCAGAGAACTGTACAAATGAGCAGCTAGTCATAGAGGTTCTTGTTGAAATGAACTTGCCATTTGATGGTATATGTACAGCTGTACACTTGAGTCTTTTCCAGTTTATTTTCATAGACTAGCAGTTTGACCTGCGAAGCAGTACTGGTTCACTTCAAGCAGCGAAGGTTGACATAGACACCTGGAGGCACCTGTTATTCAGTTTCTCTTTTGAGTGGGTATTTGGCACAATGAGGATAAATTTGTGTGACCCACTTGAATGCCTGATCTAATAATGTTGACATCATGAATCCTGTACTTAGTGAAATGTCAGATGAAGGTAACTGGTGATTGAATAAAATTTTGTTTGTATTGAAGGAATGGGAAAGAATACATAAATCTGTTAATAAAGCACCATGATCTGCAAAAGACAAAATGTTTCATAAAGATCTAGGAAATAAAGGAATTTAAAGGAAAAACAGGGCAGTCTTAAAATTTTTAGTTACATGGCAGAAAGTACTGTAGCCTGTTTTTAATGTTTGATACTAATGCACAAACATGACAAAACGTCTCTGTGTGTTTTGATACTAATACAATGAAATACAAATATCTCTTAGACGACTGTGTTGAAGACTAAAAATGCAGATTTCTAGGTGTGACCCCAACTTTCGGAGTCTCTGCAGCGTGGGGCCTGGGACTGCAGTTGAACAGCCTCTACATGGGATCCCTGTGCTCTCTACAATTTGGGACCTGATCTAGAAGTAGGGAGCACTTCACTCTGTCCTAAGTAACTGTGGAACCAACTTAGACCCCTCCCTGGACAGAAGAGACTCAGAGAGTTGGGAACCAGTTAGAGGAAGGTAGAAAATTGATTACTGGGTATCTCCTTACGGCCTGGTGCTGGCCATACATTCTCAGATTTAATCAGTATGGGAGGAAGTATCTCTTATTTACAAATATGAAACAGGCTTTCAGTGTTGGTTGAAATTTCCCATTATCACTTTTGAATTCACGTAAGTCACAATTTCTCCAGCTTATGTCCAGAAACAGAAATGGGGCTACTCAGTAACTAGTCCTTCATTTTGCTGTTGGCATTCAGTGCTGACTATAGACACTTGATTTACCAGGCTAACGTGAGTTCCCTAGGAGTCTTATAATCCTATTTATTTTGGCAGCTAATTACATTTTGTCACAGAAGTGAATTTAGTGTAATTATAAACCGTTCAAAGGAAAGAATTTTGTTATTAGAACCTTTTTTCACAGAAGAAATAAAACTTGACTCTAGTGTCTATGTAAGGATGTCTCTCCTTGCTATATGGTTGATTTTGAATATTTTAAATTTTATTCATAGGAAGAGCTGAATAAGAATGCAATTATGGAAAAAGGCAGAAAGGTCCAAGGGCTAAAACTAATCGAACAGGATTTGGTCTAAGGGAAAATAAAGTCTGTGTACTGGAGGTTTTGCCGTGAATATGGATTTCTAAAAAAATTAATCTTGTCAGGGGCGCCTGCATGCCTCAGTTGGTTGAGTGTTGACTCTGGACTTTGGCTTAGGTCATGATCCCGTGGTCATGGGATTGAGCCCAACGTCAGGCTCCTTGCTGAGCGTGGAGCCTGCTGAAGATTCTCTCTCTGCCCGTCTCCTGCTCTCTCAAAATTATTTAAAAAAATGAATCTTGTCAAGTCAGAGTAAGCTACAAATATATTTTTGTAACTGTAACTGCCTCTGGTTTTCCATGCCTGGACCCGAGCACCTAAATTTTGCTGATGTACTGACTAGGCTTTTTTAAAATTAATGGCCACTGAACTCTGCCAAACTTTCTTACAGACCTTCTTGTATGTTCATTTTCTTACTCCTCAAGATAACTATTTCACACCTTGTCTTTCTAGCCCTTCTGCAGTACTTCCCACCGGTTCTACTGCCCTCTGTAAAAAAGAGGCAACCTGACAGCACCTCTCCTCTCACACTACCCCCTCCATCAACCTGCCTACATCTGTTCCCATGTGGACCAGGACTATGATCTCTGCTCAGATCCACTCACTCCACTTTCACTTCCTGAAGGATATTAATCCTGCAGCTTTTCCATCTCTCCTCCATCTCTCTCCTGGGTGATATACATTGGCATGTTCTGATATTTGGTTTCTTGAAAGAAAATTATGCCTCATCTTACAACTTCCATTTTCCTGCTTCCTTTTGCAGCAGCATTTGTTGAAAAACTTCATATAGTCCCTGCCTCTTACTCCTTTCCTATTCTCTCAACCCACTCTGGTTGCCTTCCTCTCTCAATGCACCAGTCACACTTGTTAGGGCCAACCAGTGATTTCCTTTTTTGCCAAATCCATGGCCACTTAAAATCTGTATCTTAGTTAACCGCTCCATGGCACTCGGTATTATTAACCTTGCCCTCTGTCCTTGGCAGACTTCTTTGTGCCATTCCAGGCACAACCAGCCAGTACTATAAATCTGTATCTCTGGGCAACCTCATTTAGAGTTGTAGCTTTAAATACCATAGATACTCAAATGACCCCAGAGTATTTATCTCTGGTCCTGACTTCTCACAGTTCCAACTGCCATTTGCCTGTTTGACATCTCAGATATCTAGTAGGTATCTCAAAATACAATAGAACTACTAAGACAACCATATAATATATAATCAAAACTAGGACACTTTTGAGAATAGAAGATAAAGCTTACCATTGATAATTTTGTCAGGACAAGAACCAAACTAAACTCTTTCCAATGGTTTCCCATCACTCTTAGTGAGATCCTGTTCCTTAGATGGCATTGCGATGCTCTTCTTATCTGGCACTCAATCCTGGCGCGGCTTTTATTGGCTGCCATTCTTTTTCTTGAACCTTCCTGTGTAGGTCACCTAACCTTCGGGTAGGTGACTTAACCCTTTCTCTGCCTGCATCGTATCTATAGAACAGTAAATAGTGGTACTCAACTTTAAGGATTCTAAAGCACAGCATGCCTGGCTCTTAGTAGATGCTGCATAGAAATGTCTTTCACTATCCTAAGGAACCAAACAGATTTGGATGGTAAGGGTTACTTGCATTTGCTGAATGAATAAAAACATGGCCTGTATTTTTTATAGGTTTTTCATTACTTAAGGCCATGCACACATAGCACATAGATGTTTGAATGTCAGAGTCAACTGTTTGGTTGTCTATTTGTTACAGAGTTCAAGCTCCACAGATGAACGTGAGCCAGTCTTTATCTGGGTAATGTATATCTTGGAACAAGATTTAGAAAGAGAAACTTGGAATACTAACTAAAATCAGTACCAACCGTCACACACTTTCCCTTTCAAAGAGCCAGACCTGGATTTTCGGAGTTTTCTAAAAAGTTGCTTACTTCAAATGTATGTAAGTTAGATCATTTCACATTTAAGGAATTTTACAATTTTCATAAAAATCCCTAAATTTGTTGTTAGTACTCCTTTGGCATGTCAGGTAAGGGCATGACTTTTCTTATGCCAACTCCTAAACAATCCTTTTTCTGTTCATAGGTTTGAACAGAAGTCAGATCATAGTACATCTGGGCCCTGTTGCTTGGCAGGCAGGCTGCTCTAAGCTTATTTCCTCGTCTGTAAAATGGGGAAAGTAATGCACGTAAGAGTTCTCTGAGATGGTCAGTTTTAAGCTCACCACACAAATAAGCTCTATTCTTTTTGGATGAGAAATACTTTGTTCTCAAAGGCACTTGCTTATCCCAACCAAGAGATGAAATCAGCTTGCTCTTAAAAAAAATGTATTAGAAGTTTGCTTATTGTTTCACTTAACACTAATCTATAGAATTCAGACCACATTAGAGCGATGTTTCAGAGCTGGTGGTGAGGAAGAAGACAGAGTCTGTGTTCCAGATGAAATGTGCTATTTAAATAAAAATATATCCATACTTTGAATTAAGGGAGTGTACTTGTCAGTATCTTAGAAATGATTCACTCGCAAAGTATCACTCTGATGTGCCATTTACTAGTATAGGAGTTTTTGAAATAGCTCAAAGTCAAAATTACCAACTTTAAAATAAATGCAGTTTATATCTTAAAATATAGCAAGTGAGTCAGAGATTATCTACTCAGGTGTAACTTAAGACAACTCAGAAGCTAAGCAGTTTCTTAAAATTACTGGTGCCTACAAACTGACTCCAGTCCCTGCTACTCAGCTTCACTCTGCAATGCTAGAAAGCAGCCACAGTCTGCAAGTTACTCTTCAATGTTTAATGGTGCCACAGGGTTAAACAATGGCCTTCCTTTTTTGGCCTGAATTTTGCCGAAGTTAGCCTCAAATTCTTTTTTTGTTCCACTTAGATTTACCAGATGTCCATCCTTTATTCTATAGCCTAGGGAATTCAGTTTCTTTATCCTGTACTGTACTATCTGCGGTGTTAATTCAAGAACCATTGGCGTCTCTTTTATCTGAGCTATGGAAATTCCTTCTTTCAATAATCCCTGAATTCTCTCTTCCAAAACTGGAACAGAATAATATAAAATGGCAGGACATTTCAAAACTAATTGCTTCAGGTCATGATCTGTGCATTTAAAAACATTTTTAGAGAAGGAAATGCTGTTCTGTATACTTCTGGGGCAAAGGTGAAAAAGAAATCCTTTGAGTTTGGAGAGAAGCTGGAGAATATCAAAGTCTGTGAAACCTTGCTCCTGGAGAAATTCTAGTGTTTCCTTTATAGCTGCAGAAGAATTCAGCAAAATAAATGGGTTTTGGCTTAATAATTTCAGTAACCAAACTTTCACGTTGGCCTCGGAGCCACCTAAATTTAGGTAACTCTCTTGGAGAATACTTATCATTTGCTTATTTTTCTCAATAGGATTATGAAAAATATTAGATGCAGTTGTCAAAAACCTGCTAATGACCACATTTTTGAGTCCCAACTCTTGAAAGAACTGAATGTTCAGCTTCTGAGTTTCCTGGTCTGTAACAGTAAAGAAAGATTCTGGAAACTGTTCTATTAACTTGACTAACTCTTGCTCGTTTTTGCAGACCAACTGCCAGAGTTCTCTCTGGGCGTTAACAGCCGTTGGACTGCAGACAATAGCTTCTGGGCAGCGTTCCAAAATACTGGCTACAGCGGTTTCATTAGCACCTAGTTGTTGTAAAACATTTGCGATTTCTTCAACATAGGTTTCATCCTCAAAAAGTACCCATCCTTTTAGTCTGCGAATTTTCCTGATGTCGACTGAAAATTTATAGAGCTTTTCCACTGTTCTTTTATTTTCTTTGTTTGACTGATGATCATTTGTATAGGTGAAGCACGCTAGAAAGGGTCTGTATTTTGGAGCCGATAGCATCTTTCTGAAAGAACACAGCCTGCAGGGTTGGGATCTTATCAGCAACTTCCACAACATGCCTGCAACCATTGGCTAATTGCCACCGTCCTGGGACTCAGAAGGTACTTACTGCACCTGTAAGAAAGAAAATGCAGGTTTTAACATATGGAGCACAAATTTGGGCTGTCAGTAGTAAGCACAGAAATAACATGGATGTAAATTAGACAGGAAAACTGAATTTTGCCAAAGTTGGCTTCAAACTTTTTGTGGAATATTACATATATCTTCTTAAATGTATAAAGTAACTAACATACCTCATCACAACTTAGACATCTTCTACACTATAAACATTGTGTGCTTTGCCACAACCTTGTGAAGTAGTTTCCATTTTACAGATCAGTAGTAAGGCCACAAACAGTTCAAAGATTCAAAGACCTCAAATATCATTCTGATACAAATTCCCTTTTCTACAACTCGTTATGTTTTTCTTTAGGAGACATATTTTACTAATACACACACACACACACACACACACACACACAGCTTTTGTTTTTGTTTTTTTTTTAACATTTAACATTTTCAAGTTTATGTTTAGCTGAAGCAAATACTTATGGGGGGGAGTCATCTCTAATTTTATATTTTAGAGTAAATACTTTTGCTAAATAATTATTACCCAAAGTCATTTTATTGAAAATAATAAGTGTAAGCTTGTTTTGTCAGAATTATGTGAAAATCCTTTTCATAAACCTAAAATTAAAGTAAATCTTAGCTAGGCAAAATGAGAAACGCTGTGACTGCCCCAGTGGAGCAGTGGGCAGTCACACTAAGTGGAACGGGGTCCATACTTGCACAATAGTCTAACCAGCTGCCCCCACTTGACAGCTTTACGTAGCTAGAGATGGCTACACTGTGCTTCCTGCATTATCCACTTCCGTGCTATTTTCTTGTTATTCTCTGGTAATTAAAGCATGCCTAGTTTACTGTTTGAACTTTCAGCACGCGAGAGTGGTTAAGTGTCACATCCCTGGCATAAAAGCATGTAGTGCTCAACTATTTAGCTAGTTAACAGCCTTCCTTATTATTTGTAGGTTTGAAGGAAAGTTGAAAAAAGCCATAGTCCAATCCCGGATAGTTGTGAAAACTATTTAATAATGCCATTGCCACATATGCCAAGGACTTTTCACTTTCAAGCCTGTCCCAACTAATGCAAATAAATCACTATTTTCTAAGGAAAAATAACAAGTAACAATGTTCTCATTTTGGTTTACCATTTGTAATAATAGCTCATTGTTAGTGTCCATGGTGTCTAAAATAACTGTAGGCGTAGTTTCTGTTTTACTTCGAGTGGTTCAACCAGTTTTTTTTCTTTTTAATGTAATTCCTAATACTAGTTTCCTTTAGATGATTCCTAAAGAGCCAAGATATAAATATTAGGCTATTTTATAAAATTTCTAAGAGGACCATGGATTTTAACAGGAAGGAAGAGGGAGATACTGCATAATGATGGGCACATGGAGCCCCACACCCCACAATCTTGGGCCTCACATCTGTACCACAGGCTGGAAGGAGCATGGACTCCGTAGCCAAGATGCCCATGTTCAGTCCTGGTTCTAATTTATGGGGTCATCTTGGGAAAGTTACTTAGCCTCAGATTAAGTATGTAAACAAGTAGTGACTAGAACAGTGTCTCACAGTAAATGTTCAATACTACTACAGTATAGTAAATGTACTACTACTCCTCAGGATCATCTGTAAAATAGAGACAACTTTAACTTGACATAAACTTTACAGGAATACCGTGAGGGTTCAAATGCATGTCCAGGACTATGCACAAAGCCTGGTACATAGTAAGTACTCAATAAATAGTAGCCATTACCAGGAAATATCTGGAGCTAAAATTCTTGTAGTAATAGGAGTTTAAATTGTATTTTAGACAGAAGTACATTATTTACAAAGAGTAAGTGAAAATTGTGAAAACTATTTTAAATGCTTCGGTCGTCCCAAGTGACAGTTTATAAAAGCAATACGTTCTCACTTCAGAGGATCTGCCCAACTCTGAAAAGAATAAGGAAGTGGAAAAAGTCACAACTCTATACCACCTATAGACAACTGTTCATATCTGACATACATGTCTGTTTTTTTTTTTCTGATTCTTGCACCCTTTATTATAATTTTGAACTACATACAAGCAAGGTTACCTGGTATATGAGAATTAGGGTGTAAGCTCAGCCTACAATTTGAAATTGTGAAGACTCAGAATTTTTCTTGAAAATGTCTTAAACCGGCACCACATTAAATACCAACATAATGTCTTCTAGGGAAGTCCAGTCCAGCAAGGGGTTCCTCAAGCACTGGAGCAGATCCCAGTGTTTGGCTAAGCACCAGATGAAATAGTTGGCTTAGTGTGGGGGTCACATTACACAAAATGACACACTAAACACTAGCACCACACTGACCACAGCAAGATGCTCCTGCCCAATGAGGCTGAGGGTAAAGCAGGCCGTCTCACATTTCCTGCTTACTCCAGGGTGAACTATCATGTGCTCAGGTGGGTTGTCTCATAATTAAAGCTGCCTGTCTTGCTCTTTCTTTCTCTCTGATGAGCAAACACAGTTGATGAAGAAAAGTGAAAAGCACAAATGTTGTGAATCCTCTGTAATTAACACACATTTATATATACACAGTTTATTTATTCTTTTTTTTTTTTATCCACTCTAAGTATCTAAACTTGGCATCAAAAACATTTAAAATGAGCACATGACATATGGGATAGATATAATTTTGTGATTCATTCCGTAACATCAAGTATGCTATTATTTTCTTTTAGAATGAATTCCTAGGAATGGAATTATTGAAGAGGAGTATGTGAACATTTGAAAAGCTAGGTTGTTACTTTATAATCCAGAACAAATGTCAGATGACCTTGTCACAAGCAGTATGACTGATTTTCTCGTTAGTTTTAATTCTATTTTGTAAAAAATGAACACAACACTAATTTAACTTTGTTTTCTTGTATTAATGAGGCAGAGCTTAATGAATTATTTTGACCATCTATTTCCTTTAGTGAATTAGCTATTCCTGCCTTTAAAAAAATTTTTTTTTTAGTGTTTGTTTCTTTTTGAAAGAGAGAATGAGAGAGAGAGAGAGAGAGAGACAGAATCTGAAACAGGCTCCAGGCTCTGAGCTGTCAGCACAGAGCCGGACATGGGGCTTGAACTGGTGAACTGGGAAATCATGACCGAAGCCGAAGTTGGACCCTTAACTGACTGACTCACCCAGGTGCCCCTATTCCGGCCTTTTTAAATAGCAATCTTTCTGCTTTTTAAAAATTGACTTACATAAACTCTTCATATATTAAAAAAATAATCCTCTTGTTTTTGGAAAGATTTTCTCCAGTTCACTTTTAGTTGTTGAAGGTACATTCCAGCATACCAAAATGGTTACTTTTTTTTTATTGTGCTAAGATATAAATTTTTCTCATTTAACCTTTTAAAAAAATTTATTTACTTATTTGTTCAGAGAGAAAGAGTGTGCGCAAGCAGGGAAGGAGCAAAGGGAGAGAGAGAGAGAATCCACAGGCTTGATGCTCAGCATGGAGCTCGACGCAGGGCTCGATCCCATGACCCTGGAATCATTACCTGAACCAAAATCAAGAGTCGGACACTCAACGGACAGAGTCACCCAGGCACCCCCCATTCTTACCATTTTTAAGTACACAATTCAGTGGCATGAAGTAAATCCACAATGTTGTACAACCACTACCATGACTTCCAGAACTTTCTCATCACCCCAAACACAAACTCTATTCCCATAAAACAGTAATTCCCCACTCCTTCCTCCTCTCAGCCCCCTTGTAACTTCTATTCTACTTTTGGTCTCTAGGAATTTGCCTATCCTTGGTACTTCATATCAGTGGAGTCTTACAATATTTGTCCCATTGCATCTGGCTTGTGTCACTTAGCATAATGTCTTCAAGGTTCATACATAATATAGCATGTGTCAGAACAAAGTGGTTAATTTTAAGTGGTCGAAGGGTCATGGAAGTTTCCCTTGATGATTCCTACTGCTTTATGCACTACATGATGACAAAAATTCACCCATATGTCCTATATTTTTGTTTGATTTAAAAAAGACAGCTCCTTGGGGCGCCTGGGTGGTGCAGTTGGTTAAGCGTCCGACTTCAGCCAGGTCATGATCTCGCGGTCCGTGAGTTCGAGCCCCGCATCAGGCTCTGGGCTGATGGCTCAGAGCCTGGAGCCTGTTTCCGATTCTGTGTCTCCCTCTCTCTCTGCCCCTCCCCCGTTCATGCTCTGTCTCTCTCTGTCCCAAAAATAAATAAACGTTGAAAAAAAAAATTAAAAAAAAAAAAAAGACAGCTCCTTTAATTCACTTGAAATTTCTGTTATGAGCGGCAAGTCTAAACAGATTATCAACAGTTTGGCTATCTCCAAGCACTGTTTTTGAACAGTCCTTTCCTTCCCCATGATTTGTGAGGCCTCCTTTACTATACATTAAATGTAGCTTTGGGGCACCTCGGTGGCTCAGTTGGTTAAGCATCCAACTCTTGCTTTTGGCTCAAATCATGATCTCACAGTTTAGGAGATCGAGTCCCAAGTTGGGCTCTGCACTGACAGTGTGGAGCCTGCTTGGGACCCTCTCTCTTCCTCTCTCTGTCCCTCCCCAGTTCATGCTCTCTCTCCCCAAATAAATAAGCATTAAAAAAAAATGCAGCTTTTCATTCTACCTAGCTTCCATCCTCAATTCCCTATTATTTTGCAATTCCCTGAATAAGCCAGGAAGCTAATTTCTTTGCTGCATACTTAGCCCCCTCTGCCAGACCATTATAAAACAATCTCTGGAGCAACTCACTCTTGCACATCCCCCACCAAGGATGTCAAATCTCCTCAGCTTGGACCTCTAGCTTCCCTCAACCCCTATTCTACTCTCAACCAATGCTCTTGCCTCTAATCTGTGCAAAGAAAGGAGAGCAACTCATCACACCAAACTTAAATCTTCTGGTATCTCCCCTCCGCTACAAGTATACCCTTCAGTATCCAGGGTAATCCCTGCTCCTGTAC